ATATAAGCACACTTCTTTATAATCACTATTTTTGGTGGTCCCAAGGCCTGTGACTATAAGGGAGGACGACTGTATATAAATTATATACTTTGAATCGATGTGATCACGTGTAATCATGTGTAACCACGTGTTAAATCTATTTTTATTTTTGATTGTTTTGCCACTAAATTTTACAAATCGATCTTATAACGGATACCCTACCCTTAAGTTATAGCGGATCCGCCCGCTCAAAATTGAGTCGATACGTGATTGGTTACTTGCATAACACTTAGCAACCCCGTTTCCTAGTATATTTGGTAAGTAGTATTATTTTTTTTATAGAATAAATAGAATATAAATAAAAGTAAATATTTATTTGACAATCGGCAAAAACTTGCCGAACCCCGTCCTGCATTTAACCTTATTTTTTAAAAGAATGTGATTTGCATAAAATGATTATCCGTACATTAACCATATTTAAAAGAAAAAACCAAAGATAGTAATATTTATTCCCCAAAAATGCAAAACTGTGCAACATGACCCTTTCTAACACAGTTAAAAGAACAAACAAACGAAACATGATGTAAGATGATATATAAACATTATTATTTATAGAATGCATCCCGATTCCTAACAATACATTTGTCATGTGCTGTCATATAAGAGCATAGCAAGCATAGAAAAGGAATGTTATATTTCATTATACAGATGAATGTGTTGAAATGCATCTTTCGATAACTTTTTCATCATAATCATTTATAGGGGCTCTAATCGGTTTATCAGGAGGAACATAATAGCAAAATGGAAGAAATAAAGCAGCGCTTTTTTTCGATCCAAATATTAAAAACAATAATATTCCTCTAAAGAAAAAATAACAAGATGATTGAATGAGTAAAATGGATAAATATTTTCTTTTGAATAATTAATTACATACATTGACGCACTCATAAAAGGACCTAAAAAGGAAGAATATGATGGATGGTCGTTTTGAAAGTGATTTATGATTCGAGGTATGAGAGTAAATAACAAAAATGTTATGTACAAAATACAGAGAATGTTTAATCGAACCGCTCGTCCTAACTTAATCGCTGTTGTCCTGTTCATATTGCCATTAAATTTCTTCCATCGGTTATATAAGATAAATGAAGTATGACCTAAAGATAGGAGAAAAAGACGAACTTTTTTTGAGAGTGTGTGTTTAAAAGCAAGGTGAATCTATTTCCTTATGCTTACACGTCATTATGAATGCCACCAATACCAGCGACATAGTCGGAATTACATAACCGTAAAAGTTTCTCGTATTTTTGGATCCCTTGCAATTTAATGAAGAAATTAAGACCCCAAAATTTTCTTCTTTCGTCGCCATTATTATCTCAAAAATGTTGTACACTATGGTGAATAACCAAATCGTAGAAGAAACCCACCAAAAACACCTCTTTTCTATATCAAGATTTTGCTTGACTAGCACGTACCATAAATAGAATGATATAACTAACGGAAAAAATTGTAAAGGATATGCTGTAAAGGATGTGATTTTATTTGATAAGATGCAAATCGGACTATCAAACCCATGATCAATTAACTGGTTTCCGTAAATAAGAATTGGGGGTAAAGTGGAAAATACATTACAAAATGCTGAAATGAATAATTGAAATAATGTCCATTTCGTAAGGTGCGATTCAGATTTTAACAATGAATAAATTAATATTGATAATAATATAAGACTTATCAAATGTATTATAATATAAATTACTATTACTATTGAATATTTTACCATTATGAAAAAATTACTTTAAAGAAATTCATGGATGGATTTGATCGTAATTTTTATTATTAAAAAAGAATATTTGAAAAAAAAAGAACAAGAGAATCCAGACCTCAAAAATTTGAATTTATATATTTGCATGATTATGACCACAGGAATTGTCTACACGTGAACAATCTTCAACTTTATTGGCTAACCAATATAAACAATTAATAATTAACTACTGTCGAGTGGTACGACAGTAGTAAACAAATATTTGTTATCAAAAGTTTTATCATTCTTACGAAACATACATTTTAAATTTCCATAAGCCAAAGAAAATAAAACTGTTGTTCATAAGTAACAAAAGCCAATGAACCAATAATCGTCAATAGAGTAAACTTTTGTTAAATTTATCTTTGAAGCTGATGTCATTTACAAACTATTCACATGTCATATTTGAACCCTTAAATGTGATCAGGAATTTTGTATCAAAACTATTGTTATTTTTACGTTCAATCAGAAAAATAATACAATTGTTTACTCCAGTATATAAAGTAATCGTAACCCACGATTTTTTATAATAAGCAAACCTACTATTATATATGTTACATTAATTTAATTAAAAAAGGGGGATATATTATGCTATGCCATCCGGATTTGTCATCGTTATACAATGGAGGATAAAAACAAAGATTGATTTTGTTTTGTATATTTAATAATTATAGAATTTATTCTAATTATATTTTATTTATTTTTATAAACAAAAAGTAAAAAAATAAAGATATTAGATATAATAGAATCTTTAAATAATAAATCAAATGAGATCCAATTGTATATATAATTCAGGTAATTATAAATTAATATAATTCAAATAAAACTATTTTATTAAATTAAAATAATATATAAAATTTTATATAATAAATAATAAAAGTTAATAATCAATTAAATATAAAAAAAAAAAATTGGAAAAATAAATTTATATAACTATTTACTAATAAAATCAAAAATAATTAACCAAATTATAATTAATTAATAAAATAAGTTAAACCAATTAGTATATTAAATGAAATTAAAATTAAAATTCAATAAATATTTTATATAAATCTTATATTATTACTAAATTAATAAATTCAAAAAATTTAAATAAATAAATTTATTAATATTAGCAATAGTGTTTTAAGTGAAACCATTTTCTCAAATCTAAAACATTTTATTTAGTAAATTTTCAATTTACCTTATATGTTCAGAACTATTTAGGACTTTAATTTAAAATATCAAATTAAATGAAATTAGTATTATTTAAAATATTAATCAATAATATATATAATATATAAAGATATATTTATTTCTAAATTGTATATATTAAATAAAATAATAATAATTAATATAATTCATAGTAATCTTTATGGTTATTTATATTAAAAACTATATAATATTACTCAAGTAAAATGAGATATAGCAAATCATATGACTAAGATACTATTTTTCAATTTTAACTTTTTAATAAAATAATCATGATACAAAAATGATAAAATATTTATTATTAAAAGCTATAGTAAGTGATCTCATAATAAAAATATAATTATAAATAATAATATTGATTATTAAATTTAATGTTAGATAATGTAGTATATTGTATTTAAAATTAAAAGCAAATTAATAATTATAAGTCATATTTCAAGCATTAATAATTATTATATAATAATTATATATAAAGATATATAGTAATAATTGTATAATAATTAGATAATTAAAGATAATTTTTATGTAATAATTATTTAATATATATGTAATTTTAGATCTATTTAAAAATATATAAATAGGACAATTATGATTATTTAATTGAGTAGAAATTATAGATTTAAAAGATTATAAAAAATATAATATAAAATAAATCGTAATAATAATAATTATAAAAATAAATATAATATTATAATTCTTTAATAAATATAATACAAATTGAACAATAAATCAAATATTATTCTGATTAGACATTTTTTTTAGTCAACAATCAATAATAAAAATTAGTAAACACTTTAATCAAGTATCTATTTATAAATATTGATTAATTATTTAATAGATAAAATTACTGATGCTAAAACTACTTTTTTTAATATAGTAAAACTGACAAAACTATAATAAAGTAGGGTTAAAAGAAGATTTCTAGAATAGAAATTAATAATGGTATATAAAAAGGCATTCTAACAAATCTCTAAGCTAGTTCTAGATATATATTACTTATAAGAATTTATATATCAGGATTTAACTAGCTGCTATTTGGATTAATATATAATATTTAGATATCATTTTTGAATATAATTAATTATTTCTGATACCAAAAATAATATAATATTATTTTATTTTTTTAACATATTTTAAATTACTTTTAATATATCATTTATGCTAAAGATACCTTTCTAAACTATTTTTAGAAAATTTGAGTTTTGAGATATTTGAAATAAACTATTTATTTATAATAAATATCTTTACCTAAACTTCTAATAGGTTTTCCTAAACTCAATTAATTTTCATTAAGTTTCAGATTTAAAAAAAATCATTTTAAAGGTTTCAAAATAATTTCTTAATTTTTAAGCTACACATTAAAATAGGTTTTGAATAGCATTATTAATTTACGCTATCTTATTTATTTTAAAAAAAGCATCAAAAGCATAAAGGATAAAAAGTGTTTAAAATACTTAAAATGTAAACTCTATAAGTTTAATATGAATAATAATTTTATATGCTATACTGCTTGCTTTTAAAAATATCAAGAATATAAAATATCTAAAATGATCAAGATGTGATTCCATAAGCTAATAAGTATAACAATTTTATATAATATTATAAAATTAATTTTAAAGTAAATTTCTTTAAATAAATAATATCAAAATTTTAGTATTATAATAATATCTTTATAAGTGCATTCTCTATAAGTGCATGTCTTCTTTATATATACACTATATTTCAGTCTCAAGTTCAAGACTTAGAATTAAATGCATTTTCTCTATATTCTGTATATGCAAGTAATTTCGAGTCTTAAATATATTAGAATACCCTTTATAAATACATTTACATGATAATTTCATATTATTGACCAATCATTGATAAGTATTTGGTTACAATTAATTTTAAAGTAGAATAAATTAGAACATGTTACATAAATGTAGTTTAAATTTTTTTTTTTAGTTTTAAAATCTTCTGAAAATATTTTTTTGATAAAATTATCATCTGTAGTAAAAAGTTCATAATAACACTAATTATAAAGTCGTAAGAACTAAAAACTAGATTTTAGCTAATGAATCTAAATTGCTTTTAACTATCTAATTATTATACAATTATTACTACATATTTTATTGCATAGTTACTACATCATAACTATATAAGAATAACTAATTTCCTAATTATGATTTAATATTTTTTCATAATTACTACATTTACTCCTAATTTTAGATATAGCATATCATGTTATGTAATACCAATTTTATTGATTAACATTTCAATTTATTATTACATTTTCATTATAAGATTGTTACTGCAGTTTCTTTGATGATGAATATTAATCATGCTTTTATATCACATTTTTGATCATATGATTTGCTATACCTCATTTTCACTTAGGTAAAAATATTTATTAATATCTTTTTAATTTAAAATATACTGTACCTTTAAATTTTAAATAGATTATATATTAAATTTTGTTTAAATAAATTTGTGTATTCAAAAATATGTTTACTAATTAATTCAAACTAAAATGCTTACTATTTTTTTTACTTGCTGACTGAGTTAACCTAAGAAAATTTGATTATTCTAAATTAGTATAGCTTTGTATATTTATGAGAAAGTAATATATGATAATATATAAACAAACCCCTATAAAATAAAAATTAGAATGTTGAAATCTTTTATGTATCTAAATTAAGGAAAGAAGAATAATGATTTTCTATTATTTAATAATATTAAAATCAGCCATATACTTTTAAAAATGTCTTTAAAAAGAACCATTCTTTCCAAAATCTAAAAAAAAAAACTTTATATTTACACTCAAAATAATAAAAGGACTTAGGCTTAGTATATTAATTGGATTAAATAAAAATGAAAGATTAGAGTTAATAAGAGCATTATTACTTGTAACTTACAAACAACAGCAGAATAACTTAGTTCAAAAACTATCAATTCAAATTCAAAATGCCATAAATCAGTTACCTATTTAGAACTTGAACTTGTTCTCAAGAAATTCATTTTAAATTACTAGTATTGAACTAATTTAAGCAATATGATACTTATCAAAAAAGCTAAAATGATTGCTAATAGATTAGAAATTTCTCAAAATACATTTTAATTTTCCTTAGGATGGCTTTATAAGTTCAAGATTACAATAGAATTCATAAATGAAAACTTAAAGGAAAAGTTTTATTTGCTGATAAAATTGCTATTATTATTACTTTTCCCTTATTAAGAAAATAATATTTTAATTATTCTCTTAAAAGAATCTATAACATGAATGAAATAGAACTTTTTTATAGGTAAATTCTTAAAATGAAAAAAAATCTAACATGAAAATTTTACTTATCTTGTACGAGTATTAATTATTTGTAGATTAGAATCTGATTGAATACTTG